CGCTTTGTAGCTCAGTTGCAATGTTTTGTACTACACAAACATTTTAATCAAATGTTAACATTTGGTTAAAATAAAAGTTCTTGTAGCTATTCAACACTATTTTTTCCCCCTCAAGAACAATTAAGTGACACAAACGTGTAAAAGATAACCCTGCCTTCTGTTGAAACGATATAAAAATAGGACTTGAAAGTAAAAGATGACAAGACATCTATAAAGAACACATATGTTCACTGAATGTGATTGAAAGGTGATCAGAGCTAATCAAGGTCGATGCATTTTTTCTGGACTAAATACAGAAAAGAAAAGACAAATATTACAATATTCTGGTTGTCCAGAATTTGGAGATACCTGTGCATTTATACCAGATGTAACAGAAGCTAACTACTTGAAGTTTATGCTAAATATTTCCACCAACATCACACTTCTTCTACTATTTCTTTCTCATCAACATCTAAATGTCGATACATACTTTACATAATGACATCATTTTGTTCTTACAGCTCTGCTTTGGGAAGTTCTTCTAGCTTCCGTGCTTTAGTTCTTGTAAACTATAAAATGTCCTTGCTAGCAACTTTGTTCATGTTCGTGCCACCTTGGGTACCGATAACCAATTTATCTGTACTTACCCATCACTTTTCACCATGGCTCTCAAAAGTGTTCACAACCCTGTTAAAATGCCAGGTTCTTGTGATGTGAAACAAATGAAATGTTTCATAAATCATTCCAAACCATTTTTTTCCCCATATAATGCAGACTTTCCCAACGAAAACCTACCAAGCCTGGTGGTAGGGGGTGCTAAGGCAGTCCACCAGCCCATTGTGTTTTTGTGTTAAAAAATGTTAAAAGTTAAAAATATAGAAATCAACCGGCAAACCAAACTTAATCTGTCTTTACTTTCAATGTTACTGGTGTACAAAAACCCAGTTTAAAATAAACTAACAAAGCTTAGCCTGGCGGTACGGGAGTAAGTACAGTCTGGTGGCCTGTCAGGTTTATAATACACTGGAGGAAATGCTATAATGTGACATTTATGCTGTATTATTCAAGGAAATGTATTTATTTAAAAACGACAACAAAAAGGAAAGCCGCAACAATGCAGAGCTTCAGGATCAAATGGATCTCATTCCACAAATGTATCACGCAGGAACAGGCTATAAGAAATTACACACACACACACACACACACACACACACATACTTATATATACACAAAAAGTGAGCGCTCCTTACCAGTATTTATAGTCATTGTGGCCTTGCTAATGGGATTAGACCATACAGTTGTAAAACTCTGCTATACATCGTCTTTAATAATTTGGTGAATAAATACAGTTATTATTCAATGACTTATTGAAAACAAGCATTTCAGAGAGGTTCATTCTGTGCAAGAAGATTCAGGGGTGTGTCGAAGTCTTAGTGGTAAAAAAAAAAAAAAGTTTACGTCCCAGAAAGGTGAAGAGCTGTTCCTTTAACTGATGTGACTGATTGTGGCACCATGACAGCAACACGTTCTTTCGCTGCAGCATTTTTTGCACAACCCCAATCTGCCTGCCACCGAATTCCTGCGGACCCCGTCTGACATGCAGAACAACAACAGCGCTTATGATGTGGTAAGCACTTTCACACTAAGCGAGGCACCAAATGCAATGTTGAAGTTTGACTGGAAAGAAATCATAACTGTATATAAAAAAAAACAATAATAAAGAAGCAAAAAAAAAAAAACACACACTACAGCTCACCACTACAGCTCACCACTACAGCGTCGTGGTGGGAGGGTCGGGGTAGGGGGTTGTCCTGCGATGGTGTGAACGGGCATCCGTCTGCACGCAAAGCGCCGAGATCAGATTCGCCGTACTCACGTCTGGAGAGGCGCGGGGGAACGTCAACAACCGCAGGGGAGGGAATAATGACACAGTGGTCAACCTCATCGCCTCACATCTGCTCCATGGCTTAAAAATGCTTTGAAGCTTCGCTGTAGAACTAAAGCACATGTGTAATTATCTACAATGAGCTCCTTCATTGGGTGAGTTTACAAAAGAAAAGCAGAGAAAGTCTCAGTTGGTCTGCGCTGCGGTTTGAATAAATTAATAAAAACAGGGGAGAGATGATTTATGCCTATAACTTCTTTGCTGTGATAGAGCCGGGTCAGAATCGGAGCCGTTTTGACGCAGGAATCAGACAAAAAAAAAAAAACTGCATTAAGTCGTATTAGCACGCTAGCAGTCGCACTGCTGATAATGAATTTGGAGAACTGTGGTCTTTGGCAAACAATCACTTTGGATGTTTTTTTGTTTTGTTTTTTTTGCTAGAATATTGGCACCAGTGGAGGGGGGAGCCTCAGAGATTATGTGAAAATAAATATGCAGGATTCACAGAGGACTAATTAAAAGAGAACAGAGTAAATAGCAGCAGCAGAAGATGAAGTGTTCTGACTTTTTGTTTCGTATTGTAAGCAAGGCTCTCTCCAAAGGCCGGGACGTCTTCGATTTCAGTTTAATCTAAATGTTTCTCTCTTTAAAATCCCCGTTCATCTGTTTAGTCATGCGAACTTTCTGCTAACAATTTAAGATGCCAAGCTCCGGCTGACGGGATGACGGAATAATTATGACATCATCTGGGCTATTTTGTTTCAATTTTGGGAAGCGCTCGTCAAAACAGCCTGACATGTAGTACACATCTGTTCTACGGAAGAAAAAAAGTGTCCATAGTTTGAAACTCTGCTGAAGTAAAATAAGTGGAGAATTTACAGAATTTTTTTTCCGACTCAAGTAAAGTATTAGAATAAAATGTTCCAACACTAATTCTATCAAACTGCAAAAATCTGCTCAACCAATCAAAGACAGCGCCATGGAAAGCTCTCAAACTTGTCCAGTTTTTTTTTTTCCTTTTTTTTTTTTAGGAAAAGAAGGAAGGAATTTTGTAAGCGTTGCAATCTGAAGAGCTATTTTTATTTTCAGTCCAGGTCATTAAAACTCTTTTATAGCTGCAAATGTTACTTTAAAACAAAAACAAGTCAACTTAGAGCATTTGATAAGCATTTACCACAAGAAATGTGGTGATGTTTTAATAGAACCGCCATTTTATTTCTTCTTCTAGGTTTTATGAGTAAAAACTTTAGCAAAAATGGGATGGATTTTCTTCTATGGGATCTTGATATTTCTGGAAAATTATGTAAAAAAATAAAAATAAAAAAAATAAAACAATGTAGTTCCAGTCTAATGGCTAGAAAAATTGATAAAAATATTTCTATTTTTCAAATTCGGTGCCATTATTCCATAAACAGTCTGAAAAAATATTAAACACCTGCATTTATTATAACATCTATATATTTTATTTAAAAATGTCTATTTCTTTCTCATTTTTAGCTTTAATTTCCAAAGAAACGCAGAAGAATTCCAATGTAGTGACATTATAATGAGTCTGTTAAACTGGTGTTAAATTCTGCTCTAATTCTGCCCTGACGCAGCATCTTCACACTGAAGCACAGTGGTGGCAGCATCATGATGAGATGATTCTTGCCCAAGGAGATTGGGTAGAGTCGATTAGAAGATGGACAGAGCTAAAAACGGGGCAATTGTGAAAACAAGCCTATAGAAGTGTGTGCTAGAATGGCCTAGTCAAAGTCTAGAAGACTGAAATCTGGTAGAGAATCAAGGGCAGGACTTGAATTTTGCTGGTGCTTCAACAAGGGATGGACTGAGAAGGCTTAATCGACTCACGCCGTTACATTTTTAGAGATGTAACTGTAAGAATGGTTGAAAACTCTGTTTATTTTTCCTTCTTAAAGCAACAACAATTTGGGAGTGAAAGTTTTTCCTCTGTCTGTGCTGAAGAAAATCCTCCCCACAGCAAGATGCTGCCACCACCATGTTTCACAGTGAAGATGTTAAAAATGCTGGATTTTCCGTTTACTTCACAATTACATACGACATTGTACTGGTTCAGCGCTTAAAGGGGCAAAATTATGTAATATTGACTTTTTTGAACTTTATATAAAGTTATACAACGTTATTCCCTCACCAAGAATAACATAATTTCTCTTGCACGTTTGAGAAATAATTTAATCTCTATGGCAAAGATTGAGCTGGGTAGATCTAGCTCCACCTTTGAGGTGAAGCTCCTCCTCGGAGGTGCAGTTTATAGGCTTCCGCCTCACAGAGCAGCTTTCCCCCATAGAACCTCCATTCAGCTCCTTCAGACTAGTCAGCAGTGATTAGCAAACACCTGGTGGATCTGCAAACCTGCTGAGTTCATTACAGGAGCTACTTCTCAGTGAAACACTGGTAAAAATGTTGCTAAAGGGTTAATAGAGGAGCCATGTTATGATGACTTCCTGAAGGTGGACTTTCAGAAAGACCAGGAGTCAAATTTCTCTTAAGTCATATTTGATATAATGTTTTCATAACAACTGGAGTTAACAGTTATGTGATTGTGCAATAAAATGACACAATGTGCCTGGAAAGCACATAATACTGCCCCCTTTAAAATCCTAACAGAACACACAGAGGTTTGTGGTTGCAAAGAATTCACAAAAGCTGAAGCGTGAAAACTTCTGCGTGGCACTGCAATCGAATCTGAAACAGATGTAAAGTTCAAGTTTCAAAAGAAGAGTAGACAGATGAGAAAAAAAAAAAAAGACATCCAGAACCACTTCAATGCTCTAAGAAATACACTGAGCAGCACAGATATTCCACCAACAACTGTCCACCAATAGCCAGGCCCAGAAAAGGTCCAAACAAAACCACACCCAGAGACCCCAGAAGCTCCGCCACCAACACCACCACCTGCACACGACAGAGCAACGTGCCGGCTTCAGATTCCCAACCGCACTCATGCCCCCCACCTCTAAACCGCAGTAAGGAGGGGGAGGGGTGGGTGTGAAAGGGTAGGGGGGTAGGGAGGGCCTGGAAAAAGGGAGGAGGAGATGGTGAAGAGGAAGGGGTTGGAGGGGGTGGGCGATCAGGGAGCTGGGGGGGTTTGTTGGTTTGGTTGGGTTGGTCTCACCTGGTCTCACTCCCGCCAGCATTGGCAGTGGGTGGTGGGTGAACGCCATGCGGGGGGACCTCGTCTGGGAGGACAGGGCGCTGAAATCGAATTTCCCCAGCTTCTTATGAGAACCAGGCGACGAGAGTCCTGGCGAAAAGGGGATCAACAGAATGGCAGAACAGAGACGAGGTTTTAATCAAACATGGCTGCTTTTTGCTTACTTCGACTCTACTCAAGAAAAATCAGATCAAGTCAAAGATAGAAAAAAAATCAACTACTGGATCAGATTTCCTCAATTTGATGAAAAGAAGCAAATAATTACGATTGTAATCAATGGACTGATTGATTGACTGACTGATTGGTTTGCTCATTGATTCCGACGTCCATCTTGACATACATAGGGCTTCCTTTGGGTTGGTTCTCCGTACGTTGGTGTTCAGTCAGTGGACCGTACCAGACGGAGGAGGGGGAGTGGGGTGAGGGTCCGGTGAGAGGGCATGTTTTAAAGCAGCAGCGTGAAAAAAGCTGACGGGAGAGAGGGGAGGAAGGTTTGGGTTGGGGGGGGATGGAGGTCAAGAGGCCAGGGGCTTAGCTTCAGGACAGAGGAGAGCTGGAAGATGCCCACCGATACGGGACTCAATAACACAACATCTAAGTATCATGTTTCTATCCTCACATTGGTAACTTTTTTAAAACAAATCAAACTAGTTCAGAGATAGAGAGCCTTGCAAAGGTTTTCACACCACCTAGAACTTTATCACACTCATTCTTCATGTTACAGCTACAAATATCAATGCTATTTGAAGATTTGAGTTTGTGCAAAATGGGATTTTTTTTCACACCAATGCACTTCTTAGGCTTCCACAGTTTAAACTGATGTCAGCCCTCTTGTCTTATTCGACAAGAGTGTTTTACCGCCTGTATTTATTTCGACTCTAAATTCAAGCCAACCTGCAGAAGGAAGGTTTGACAAATTAACAAGTTTTTATTTTTAAGCCGCATCACCCAGGATGTATCGTATTATTTATTGTTTAGTGTGATACATTTCTCATAAGAATTTTGATTTATCGGGGGTGTGCTGTGTTGGTGCAGGGGTTAAGCACAACCCACATATGGAGGCCTTAGTCCTCGACGCAGCTGTCGCAGGTTTGATTCCCAGCCTTGGCGACCTTTGCTGCATGTCTTCCCCCTTCTCTCATTATGCACTTTCCTGTCAATTAACTATCAAATGAAGGCCACTAAAGTAAAAAAAATCTTTAAAAGAAAAAAAAAGAATTTTGATTTATCGTTCCCACGATAAATTCCAATCAGTGATGTTTGAAACCCCCCAGAAGTGTTCTTATTGTCGGGTCTGTTTGTTTTGTTTTAGCCACTTTTTGTTCAATGGCGTGTCAATAAATATCAATACGTTTATAAATATAATCAAATACAGTTACTGTGTGCAGCTTAGTGATACAAATCACACTTTTGTATGTTTTGTGGGGCTATGATTGCTGTGCCATGTTGTCCCAGCCATAAAATTACTTTAAAAATTAGTAATAAATGGTTTTTAGTGCCACTTTTATCATTATCACAATAGTACCTGAAAATATGGTGATAAAACTTTAAGTCCATATCGCCCAGTTCTACTGCAGGTCTTTTAGGGATAGATGGCTACCAGCTTTAAACGGTTGGAAACTGAAGTTTTTCCCTTTCTTCTGAGCAAAATAGTTCAAGTTCAATCAGATTGGATGAAGATCATTTGTAAACATCAGATTTTTTTTAGAAGGTTTTGTTCGCTCTAGTGGCCTTTATTTGAAAGTAGTCCAACAGGAAAGAGGGGAATGAGAGAAGGGGAGGACAAGTGGTAAATGTCGCCAGGTCGGGAATCGAACCTGCGAACACCGCCACGAGGACTAAGGCCTCAACACATGGGTTGCCCACCACAGCACCCCCATGAACATCAGTTTTTAAGTGTTGACACAAATTTGCAACATGATTGTTGTCTGTACTTTAACTAGCCCATCCTAGCACATCTTTCCATGGTTATGGTCTCAATTCTACTTAAGGCTACAAACAAAGAACCATCTTCTGTTTGTGCTGAAAACACTCATCCCCACAGTATGACGCAGCCACCGCCATATTTTACAATGTGGACGGTGTTTTTAGTGAGATTAAAATCACAGATAGATAGATGCCTTTTTGACGGCGGTTTGATTTCGGGGCATAAGAGTTTTAGGTGTGTTGAACATAAATATATAAAACACTTTTCTGAGTTTTAACAGTCAGAAGCAGTGAGAACCATGAATAATTGTCACCTCAAAATTATCCCCTACTTTGTGTTTATATGCCATAAAAAAATTGCTAATAACACACTTTAAAGTTTCTGGTCATAAGATGAAAAAAATGGGGGGGAAGTTAAAGGGATGTGAATCTCTTTTTGCAAGGCACAGCAAACCGCAGCGTTGCTACAGAGAGCCTCAGGAACTCGAGTCAAAACAAACATGCCCGTCCAGCCGGCTCACTACAACGCTTTAGAAATGAATGGGATCCTGAACGGCCTCATATCTGGGGCAGGCTGCGTTTTCCGTCTGATGCCAGCACAACCTGTGCAGCTACATATAGCTGCAGAGGAGCCTGCCAAAACAAACACCGACTGATCCTCTGATGCAGCTCTGACTGTCAGGCATTGTACGCAGCCGCCTCGAGACATGTTGTATTTCATTAAAAGTGCTCCAGCTATTTTTTTTCTCCCTCTACTGCACACCTACACACACACACACCTACACACACACACACACACACACGTCGCTCAGGCGGAGTGGCGAGCGCTGGGCACGCTGCCAGCGAATGCTTCGTGGGGGAGCCAGAGAAAAATGGAAGAAGTTAAGCGGGAGAAGAGGAGTGACGGCACACATTGATGAACACAATAAAGTGTCCCCGGGCGTCTATAAATGTCAGAGTGGCTAAAAGGCTGTGTAAAAAAAAAGAAAAGAAAAATTATATATATAAAAAAACGGGCACACTAAAGTAAAGGCTTGGCTCATCGGCGGACCAGAAACATGGCCATAAGTGTGAGCGCCGCAGATAAAAGAGGTTCTCTTCTGTGATGAAGGGCTGGTGTGGTCCACGCTGAGGGAATTTATTTTGATGTATGGCAAACCAAGGGCACAATTTAGACTTCCTGGGTTTAAGAAGGAGCTCCAAATGGTGTATTTGGAACCACAATGTTTAATATACGCTGTCATAAAAGCCCCAAAACAAGAGCGATCCCTTACACTGGGAATATTTAGGAAAATACAAAAAAAAAATAAATAAAAAAATCCATCAGCAACAACGAAAAAAAAAAAGAAAATCAACTTTCTCCCTGAAACATGCTGAGCTCATGTTGCTTCGAATTCACTCGAAAGAATACAGTGATAAACAGAGAAGCGAGAGGCCCGTAAACTACTAAATGGCCCAATATTCACACATATAAAACAAACAGAGTCAAATAAAGACGGCGGGCAACTGCAACACAGCCCAAAGAGATGTGGAAATAGACTTTACGAGCAGAGTGTATAAAGTCTAACAGCAGATTTCTGTGAAGCTGGAGCTTTTTTTAAACGCTGCGCTGGGAATCATCGGTCGCCGTTTACCCAGAGAGTTCGGCGGTGCGGGTGCAGCTGTTCCTGTGTGGGCACCGAGGATCAAGGAGAGGGAAAAAAAAAAGGCGGGAGCCGACACTTATGCTCGGCCACGCGGTTATCGCCACATGTAGGAGGGGAGGTGAGGCGCAGATTATACATCTTGTTCACTGGTAACATGATAAAACAACAACAGAAAAAGAAAGAAGGTGTGATCAGCCTTAAACACACACAAAAAAATAATAAGGTGACATCCATCTGGTTGGAATATTTTATTTTAGTCTGTGTCATATTAGCACGTTATGTAACGAATAGTGTGATGAGAGCGTGAGAATAACTTTAAAAAAGCAACGTGTGAAGGGAAATGTGGGACGTTTGCATAAGTAGGAAAAACAAGTTTATTATATTGTTAAAGACGCCAATCAAGACGAGAGCTCTGGTCAAAGGTTTACATTTGTGCATCGGGTGTCAATCACTTCAGGACTTCAGGTGACTTTTTGACCACCAGACGATCACATGTATGAGCAGAAAACCTGAACAGTTTTCAGGCTCAGATGGAAACAGGCTGAGTTTGGACCGAGACAAACTCCTGACGCACCAACGTAGCAGGTCAGCTCACTGGGTCACCGGCAAAGTAAAAAGAGTGTTGGCGACGCGGAGGAAGTTGGAATTAAAACGAGGAACGTCAAATGAAGACGATGAAACGAGTAAAAAGCAAAACGTACTTTACTTGCAAACGACTGTTGAATTAAGTCAATGAATTGTGTGCTGTATAACATAGCGCTGCATATTTGGAATATTTTTATGATGAGACGCCACATGACTGGGAAACATTGTCTTGTTGCCCCTCAGTCAGTCTACGCCACAGGTGTCCAAACCTTTTGTGACCCAGGCAAAAATCGGCAAATTGAAAATTATTATTATTTTTTTCCCCTTTTAAAAAATAATTTTAAAGAAAACTATTTTCCTTTTGCCTACCCAGGAGTAAAATAAAGTGCAATATTTGACTGATACAAAGCAGGAAGGAATAATCTATTGTAAAGTGTTATTGTGTTTAACACTCACTGTAATAAAAGTTTCCTAACTTTTTAGGTTGAATGTTTTCTGTTAGTTGGTCTGTAAAATGTTTTAATCTGTTCCCAACAACAGAAAGGGGAATCCCTGAAGACCTGTGCAGGTTTAACACACTGGTTTAGTGTCTGTTTGGCAGTAAAATGATGCTGTAAGTTTGGGACCCTACTTACTATGATGTTTAAATGACAAAGAAAAAAAAACATGGCTTGTGTTTTACTGCAAAATTTCTATTTAAAAGGATATACATTCATAATTACAATGTGCTCCTAAAAGATTGTAAAAAAGCATCATTTGCAGTAATAACGCTAGCTATGCTAATTATGTTAAGCGCAGATATAAGATGCTAAACAGTATAAAATGTCAACTTCATCATCATTTAGTCTTTCTTTTAGTCAGTACTCTTTTATGGCATTTACTCTCTGACATGGTGTGATGTCACATCCTGGGACGACGGGTCAAAAATTCTCAATCCTGTTCTTATTTCAGCTCATGTTATGATGCTTAAAACGAATTTTGAATCTGCTGGCATGGGCAGATCAAATCCTAGACATCTGAGATTAAAAAAAAGAAAAACACAACAAACACATTTGATTTTACTTTTTGCATACCTTTATCAGAAATCAGTATTTATTTATTTATTTATTTATTTATTTATTTTAAACGCCACGGATATCTGCATTCCGGTTCGATGTGAAAACCCTCGTCTGCTGCGTGATGCGTTCAGTGCCCCGAGGGAGACATTTGCAAAAGTACGTAAACTCTGATGATGTAAAAGTGATGCCATCATGGTTGGCTGAGCTTGGATTTGAGAGGGGAAAAAAACAAAACAATCTTCACCAACTGGAGGAGTGAGGATTATACCGTTGCATCATGGGAAATGTAAGATACAGTGTTTATGCAGCTCATACCAAACTAGACATTCTAAATACTAAATATGCTATAATTTCAACTTTCTTTCAAACAACCAACATCACACAGAATCGTGCAAGAATAATAAAAAAAAAGTTTCCACTCGCATGTAGAACTTTGATAAAACAAAGAGGGAAAACTAAATCCCACGCACCCAAAAGAATTACCCGCTAGCTTTCAGTTCCTCTGCGACTACAGGTTTCCGCGTGCCAGAGCCAATTATAAGCAGCCTATTATTCATAAATAACTTTAAATTATACATACTGTTTTTAGACCCTGTGATGATTCCTAATTAGTCACTATGTTGATGAAATATCTGGTGGTATATCAGCGAGGAACAGCAAATGAGGCCCAGATGCCCAGTGAAAGCTTTGTCTAATAGAGCTAACAGAAGTTACTCTGATCTCTCTCTCTCTCTCTTACAGTGTGTATGTACACACATACAAAACAGTTGTTTGTTCTTCATTATTTCTGTGTCCTACTCCTGGCACACTGCACAGGCAGCCTGGCAGCCAATTGCTCCCATGACCCTGCAGTCTTGCCACGCTAACAAGCTAGCGACCACACAAACCGCCGCTGAACCGGTCGGCTAGCGAGCGCGCACGCGCTCAGAGAGAAACAGCGAAACAAATAAGCTTCAGGTGAATAAAAGCAACAGTGTATGTTGGACAGCTGCCGTTCCCTCGTGGCTTTTGTTAGCAGGCGAGAAGATCAGGACAGCAGTACAGTCATTGAAACATCACGTTTTCTGCAAAAGACATATTTGCTCCAACTCTGTCAATATCACAAATGCAAGGGGGAATCTGAGCCACTCCCTCTTCACCCAAACACTCTGACTTTCCCCACCACAGAGCAGCAAGAGCGAGCGAGGCAGAAGGAGAAGCAGAGCAGAGCTGAGTGGGACACAACAGACTTCATGATGGATTACATGATCACCTGCTATGCCTCAGAGCCTTTCATTCAGGTAGAGATTCACCTCCAGAGCAGGCAGAGGCAGAGGCCCTCCTCTTCCCTCCTTCTCCTGCCCTCCTCCCTTCTTCTCCTTTTTCCACATCTCTCACTCCCAACACCACCACCACCACCACCACCACCACCATCTCCAGAACAGATGTCTGCTGTAACCCAGTAGCTCCCTTTGCTGTAGACACATGGAGTTGCCATCTGGACCGGAACGCTGTTCCTCTCCAGACTGGTGTGGGGTGTGTGTTTGTATGTGTGTGAGAATGTAAATCAGTTAAAGAGCTCTAATGTAGTTCTTTTCTGTGTGAGCATGTGTGTGTCTGTGTGTGTCGGTGAGTAAGCATGGCTCGGAGACAGAAGGTGCCTTGTGCACTGATGACACACCTGAGTACCTTTGGTTTTGGTTTGTTTGGATCTTGTGTTGTTTTGTTCTTGCTGCCTCTCTCAGACAGATGAGGCAGGCCTGGGGCAGGTGGCCGCAGCCCCCAAACAGCTCTGTCTAAACAACCAGCTGGATGAGGTGCCGAAGAAGCTTCACTCACATCCTCTCTACCTTGCCGATGTCTCTTGCAGGAGGCTTGGGTTTTCTCACGTCTCCTCGTGTTACAACCACAAACTTCAGTGTAGTTTTCTGTTTTATTTTCTGTGCATTTTTGTTTTCCCTTTATTCTGACAACCCTAACTGAAACCCAGGTCGCTGAATCGCCTTCAGAAATCTTAGTAAGTAGATTCTGCCTGAGTAATAATCTATTAGTTCTCTGAAGGCTGCAGAGGTTTGTTTAGCTTCTTCTCTAATGTTCTTTTAACCAGTTCTTCCCCCACTCAGTGACGGCCAGACTCGTCTCCATTTGCAGATCCTGAGCAGTTCATCCATGCAGAATCTAGCTGAGTATTGTACGGAAGCGGTTTGATTGGCGGCAGACTACTTTTGTTTAATGGCCTGTGGATTAAACGACTGGATGGAGCGATCAGCAATGAGCAAATATAAAGAGAGTTTGAAGAGAAACTGGCCACCCAAGGGTATATTGATTGGCGGCAGACTGCAATCGATGATTTAGTCCGTGAATTTACGTCAACATCTCAACCACCATTATCAATCTACATCAAGACTGTAGCAGTTGGACAGGATGGCGAGGTGTAAATTGATAATTCCATGGTGAAACCTTGTGGTCTACATCTTTCTATCAATTGTGGCAGAAGAGCACATCCAGAGTCAAGTGGATGGGACAAAGAACAAATATACTAAGAGATTTCAAAGAAATTTCAGAGAAATCTCTTGGTAGACATTTTGAGCATCTACGTAGGGGTGAACGCTTAAAGCTCCACAGGGATAGCTGTGGAGTTTTGACCACAGTTCCTCCAAGTTTCCCACGTCCCCCCCATGCTCCTGCCCACATTCACACCCACTGAGAGGAACTCACTACCAATGGAGACATGGCCAATTTGGCTCAAACCGAATCAAACATTAACCGGCTAGAGTGAGACTTGACAGCAGAGGAGAAAGGGCTTCAGAGAACAAGAGTGAACAAACATCCGAGGTCAAAGAACACAACAGACAGGTCAGGGAGAAGTTAACCAAAGAAGTAGCCAAGAGGCCTGTGATCACTCTGGAGGAAATGCAGAGATCCACACCTCAGGTGGGTGAATCTGTTGACAGGATGACAATTAGCCACAAACTCCACAAATATGGGCTTTATGAAAGTCCAACACGGTGTAGTGAACACAGCATGTGGAAGAAGATATCCTGGTCAACTGAGACGTTTTACATACAAAACACAATAGAAAACTAATACTGCACATTAATCTAAATAAACCATCATCAAGGTGAAACACTGAGACGGCTGCATGACGCAGCAACAACAGAGCCAGTCAGAAGTAACGAGAAGATGGATGAAGCTAAACAAAGCAGCACTGGAAGCAAACAAGTTAGAGGCTGCAGAAGACAAGAGACTGGGACGAAGGCTCACCTTCCAGCTGGACAATGACCCAGTGATAACTATATGATGATCAATATCAAAGCTTGGGCTATAATCCAAATTCAGAATCTGTGGTAATTCAGAGATACTCTCCATGCCATCCGACTCAACTTGAGTTATTTTGTTGAGATGAACGGGCAAAAATCTTAGTCTGTAAAAGTGTCAAGCTGGTAAACACAAACGCCTAATAACTTGGAGCTGTAATTACACCAAAGGCTTTTGTTTTTCAAAGTAAGGACATAGACATAGAAGGACATGTATTATTTTTTCTCCATTTCTCAAAAACATTTCACTGGTTTGTGTTGGTTTGTCATGTAAAATCCAAATCAAACACGTTGAAGTTGTGGTTGTAACGAAACAAAACGTGGAGACTGTTATCTAATTTTATAAAATGATAATAAAAATACTAAACCACTGAGGCAAATGTTCGTGGAAACTTTACTTCAGAAGCATGTGGTGTGATAACAATGTGCTGTTTGGACACAGTGAAACAAATACCAATAAAAATCACACTTGCAGAAACACCAGAGCATTCACATATGTTAGAAATGTGCTGGAGATACATGTGCATCCAGCGCACATTTACGTTCTTTCCCACACACAATCACAGCGACATCTCTGAGGCAGACAGGTGGTGGACGTTATGGAGCTACTGGGCTACCAAGAAGACGTTTGGTGAACCCACAATGGACAGCAGCAGACATCTGGTAGAAACACAACCCCACCCAGCAGCAACAGAGCCAGAGAACAGGACACATAAAAGCAGGGAGAGGAAGAGGAGCGGAAAATAGAAGAGGAAAGACGGGATGGAAGAGCTCAGAGAGCTCGCAGATAAAGGCAGACAGACAGAGGTGCATACACAGGCTGAGGGTGTTGTGAGCGGAAGGAGAGCAATGTATACATGTACACAGTAGAATGTTTAATGTTCTAACCATGGTAAGGAAACTGCACTCCATCGCTCTCATGCTTAATCTTCCTCTCCTGCACACTGGCCAAATGGTGCTGCACTGAAAGGCCAAACAGGGGAGAAAGGGAAGAGTTAACAATGGAAGAGGGGAGGAGAGATAATGACAGACACACAGAGAGAGAGACAGGTGGAAAAAAAGAGAGAGAGAGGGAGAGAGAAACAGGGCTGGTTAAATAATGAGCAATATGGGATTTTAATGCTATAGAGCGCAGCAAACGTCTGTAAAACAGTTACATCACGACTGCTGGCAGTATCATAAAGGAAGCGCAGCAGAGGGAGTTTCCTGAAGTGAATCCCTTCAGTCAAATGCTACACCAGTGAAGTCACATTGTAAATACATTTGATGAGATAGCCATCGTGATGGTTGACAGTGCTGTGAGCAAACAGAGCGAAAGGTTAGAGCTTCGCACGAAAGTGGAGAGTTAAACTGGTGTTGCTTCGGTGGGAGGCTGGACAAAGGAGACGGACATGAATGGTGAGACTCAGAGGGCGTCTAGAGCAACAAGAGGGAGTTATGATAGAGATGATTACGGGTTATGTGGAAATTATGACTAATAATGAAGAATAATCCAAATTTAAATTAATAGCCGATCTATGTTTTTATATGATACAGAACATCCTGCTATTCTTGGTGTACCTCTGCAGAGGAAACGGATACATGTTGCTAACAAAGCTTAAATAATTCATATAGCAGATGAATTAGCAGTGCAACAATTGTTGCTTTTTATATATTTAAACTTCATAAATAAACCTGTGCAATTTAATCATGTTGTGTGTTTCTTTTTCTTTCTTTCTTTTTTTTTTTATGTTTTTTTAATAGAAATGTATTTAACATCAAAACAGAAAATACATGTGGTATGTTACATTAATGAAAAAAAATATATATGTTTTTTAATTTTAAATATTTTTATGAAACTATTCTATTTTCCCCTCAAGGTTATTTAAATATAAAATGTCAGACAATCCTTCCTAATATCCTTGCTGACATTAGCAAGGATATTAGCAATCCTTGCTAATATTGTGGAATAAACATCTTAGAGAGATTTAAAGAGTATTAAGTTAAGGAAACCCAGATATGAACAGCCTTGCTTATTGTCGAGTTAGCTCTTTTTACCCCTTGCTAGCTTAGCATGACACAATTAATGGTAAATGGTGGACAACAAAATACAGTTTGTTTACTGTGTAGACAATCAAATGGTTAAATTTTTTGCTACTGGAATTACAGAATGTAACAATTATGTTGCATCTCATGTATGTTGAGCAGAAAAAGTGTTACTTTCTCATCAACCTAGCTTTTACACATCACTTTCAGTGTTTAAACTAAGTATGCTAACTGCTAATTTAAGGTTAAAAATATTCTTTAAATACTGCCCTATACACTTAGAAAGATTTGCTTTCCACATTTTAGAGCGTTTAATTGGTGGGGAAGACTTGGAGTTTGCTGCTTAAGATTTAAAGCTAAAGACAGCAGGCCTATTTATTACTCATTAGCGTATACCGCCAAGAAAGTTTTGCTAGCTTAGCATTACTGGAAACAAGAAATTAAAACCACATATTTGTTTTGAAAAGAAAAAGCTTACTAAAATTTATTACTCGCCTGAAATTTTAAGGTAAAGTGAAGTTCCACCGAGGGAAAACATTCGCTTCAACCCAGCATTTAACGTCACTTCCTGTACTTAAAAGTTAACTAACTTGGGTAACTATATTAGTTTTGGATGTAAGCTACGGACTTCAGAGTTGTTTTATTACATGGAAAAAACTTAGGAAAAAGCATAAAACACAATGAGACCTAGTGTTAGTTCTGCAGTTTACTACACAGTATAAAACTATTTTCCCCCTGATGGGTTTCTACTGGTTTTGATTTACTGTGTTTCAGAAATAGATGTTAAACATTTAAATAATTTATTAAGGTAAAAAAAACCCTAATCAAATCAACCCAGCCCAATGTGAAGAAGTAACTTCCCACCAAACCTAATAACTGGTTCTTCTACGCTAGCATTGGCAACTGGCAATATATTTTACATTGTATTCTACGTTGCTGTGGAGACATTTTGGCAAACCCCAATAGCAGAATAGTTCTGATTTAGCCACGCTGGATAATTTCTCCAGCTCTTTAAGGTCATTCCACATAGTCAATATCAGATTTAAGTCGTAGCTTTTACTAGGCCATTACAAAACTTTCACTTTGTTGTTTTTCTGAAAGGTCTCAGGGATCTTTAAGTTCTTTTTTGGCGAATCTAAGAGCAATAACTGAAGTAAATTGTATATTTCTTACTCATGAAGAATATACAGAAGACAATTAAAAGTCAAACCCACTCTGCTGTACTGTTGCAAGATAAAAATCACTTCACTTTTAGTTTATGGAGATCTTGCATAACAAACTGTGTGATTATATAAAGTGTCACACTGGACACATTTCCAGATATCGCAGCGACTTTTGAATATTTAACTTTTGCTTCATTAGAATTGTGACATACCTCTCAGCTGACAAAATCAATTTGTTCAAAACATTTCCCAAAATATTCGCACCATGAAGGCTAAGCGCCTGCAGATAGGTATGCCAGTGGGGGAAACTGTGGCAAACAGACTGATCCTCTGGCTCTGGAGGCTCTTTGATAGAAGTTTAGTGGTTTGGAGGTAGAGAATGGGAATGATGGGGAAGTAAAGGTAGAAAGAGTGGGGGGCAATGCAACACAAACACAACAAAACAATTTATTTTTTCTCTGGCAGAAGGTGAGATGTGGTTTCTGCTTTAGGATTGAAACATATAAAGAAAATCTTTCTACTGAGATTTAAGGAAACATTTGACATTTCTGGAAGATTCTCCCTCCCATAAAAGAGGATCACAAGTTACTATAAGATGTAAAAACGAACCAGACATGGCCAAAAGTATACATACACTCGTTAAGGATGTTAATGTCGTTTTTTATTATGATCATTTATCAGAGCTACACTTTCTAAAGGATGGAACAATTACACAACACACAGGATCAAAATCCCACATCCTGACTCAAACTTATTATCATTAATAGTGGGACCAGATTAAAATGTTTAATAGAGTTAATTGTAATTAATTGCATTTTAATTAGAAAGTACATATTGACAAAATAAGTAACACCTTCAATTCAAAAACCTTTTTTGCTACTAATTGTAAATATAGATCTGAGCTCAACAACAAAGATATTTATCGTTTTTTAATCGGACAGTACTTACTAAACTTTTTTGAATACACTTAAAAGTTTGATTTGCTAAGATAATATATATATATATATATATATATATATATACTAAAACTGTCCTTTTATGTGGATTGAAGACAATTCTCAATGAAGTCTACGTATTAAAAATGATTTCTGTTGTGTCCTCTCTTCGATAACTACTTGTAAGTTTGATTTTTACTCTAAAATTTGTCATTTTCGGATCAGTGGTTCACCCAGAATCGCTGTTTCCGTTTCTAAAATATATATTTTTAGAGAATTTACAGAACATGGAAATCACAAACGTGAAAAAGCAAATCTCCAAAAATGTCAAACTATTCCTTTCAGTCCAAAAGAAAATCCCCTCTGAGCTTGAAAAAAAAAACGAGGGGAGCTAAGTGTCTCGTCGAGGCCTCCGGAGGCGCTCAGCATAGCAAACTTCCAGAACCAATACCTGCATCCACGTCATTGGGCCAGCCGCTAGACTGGGAGCTGCTGCCGGCGGCCGGGGAGCGGCCCGAGTAAAACACATCGTCCACAGGGCTCTCCATCTCACTGTCGTCGATGGACTTACGCTTGTTGGAGCTGAAAGAGACGGAGACGAACATGACTACACACTGCTTTCAAAGTGTTCAAGAGGGAACCAGGTGAAGGTGCTATATCTGTGATGTCACTGCGCATTGCTGCCCAGGATGCCTCGCAAAAGTATTCACACCCCATTGTCACACTCAAACCCACAATCGGATTTAGATATGATAGGCCAACACAGCATGTGTGAAATGTAAGGAGAAATGTCTTTTCTTTTTGGTAATTACAATCTGAAATATGTGGCATGCAGCACCAAATCATGATGCTGGTACCTAGAGAAGAGGATTAGGACCACTGGAAAAAAAAAAAATTCTGACTTTTTTCTAAGAAGATTAAAGTCAGAATTCTGTTTTTTGTATTTCATTTATTTAACTTGGTAAAAAATGAGATTCAAATCTAATTTTTAAAGAGGGACCTGGGCAGAAATCTGCAACAACCTGGTTACACAAAAGTAAAACTAATTCATTTTCTGAGGAAAAAAGTAAGAATTGTGAAAGAAAAAAGAACTCAGAAAAAGTGAGAATTTCGAGAAAAAAAGTTAGAATTCCAAGATTAAAGTCAGATTTTCTTTCCCAGAGGCCCAAGTCCAGGAGTGCAATGGCGGAAAAAAATCCAGCTTTTCTAAAAAATTTAATCTTCATGGATTGTTCGATAAAGTCAATATATCATCCAAGCTTAACTTATAGATGCTCAAAGCTTGGGGTATTGTTTTATAGCATAGCCCTGCTATTTTAAAACAATCCTCTAAAGGCAACTTGTTGACTTTTTCCATTTCTATCTAGGAGTCCCAGAGTAATCCACACCGATCCACTTTTTAAATTTCTGAAACTGATACCGATATCTATATCTGAGGTTCAGTATCTACCGATCCGATGTAGAAAAATGAAATGAACTAAAAACATAAATTTACTGAATTACAAATTTATTTTGTAACTCTGCACCAGTACAGAGCACTTTAATATACCGACAGTTTCACAAACATAGTTAAACATGCAAAAACTATTTTAATTTGTTCAGTCGGTACAATTAGGAGTATTAGGAGTCAAAGTTAAATAAATAAACAAACTGAAACTGAAAAAAACAAAAGGTTGACTTCCTTGGACATGTAATAAACTGCAACAAACTTTTCTTCTTCTTTGAAATGGTTCAGAAAGTGGAATTAGGAATTCTAAATGTAATGTAAAATAATAAAGCATGACGTCATTCAGAGCACAAAGCACAGAACTAAACTGAATAGATCTGCCCTTATGGATCAGGCACATTGTCACATTCAGATTTTTTTTTCAATATCGGGACCAATACAGATATTAATATCGGATCGGTGCGTCTCCAGTTGTTTCGAAACTCTGAGGTAGTTTTTTTCTCTTCACTTCAACATCATTCACTCCTATAAGCTGGTCCATTTAATAAAATCCCGATAAAAACATCCAGTTGGTGACTGTACTGCCATAAAAGGCAGGCGAATGCTTTCTGCAAGGCATCGTGTTTGAGGTTCTAATAAATGTTCATGCATTATTCCCGGGACCGTGGAGGGCTGACGTGGCTGTGTAATTCCCTTGGAGTTAGAACAGGGGTCTACATAAAAATCAAGAACAATAAAAAGTTCTTGTGTCAAGATTTGTGTTTAGTGTGTTGTTTTAATATTATGTTGCAGCCGGGGGGAGTTGGGGGGTCAGAGAAAGCCAGCTGGAGACAGTGTGACAAGAACAGGGCTAGAATATTAATAATATGTTGGCCCAAAGTGGCCTCCCATTAGAAAACACACAAGTGGTTGAGCCTGAAATGCATTGTTGTGCGAGTTGGCGACTTCTTATACATCTGTGACCAATAAAATAACGGGGAGTAGGGGAGTGGGAGTGGGAGAGGGGACTGCAAATGTACAGCATGCAGATGTATGAGTGACGGCATGCGTGTTGTTGCGTTTTGCTCGAGTGCGATGGAGGGATCTGTGTTACATTAGTATCGGGGGAAGAGTTCTCTGCAGAGAGTGTAACTACCTCCGTGGGAGACTTGCATAAAGCTCCATTTCAGTCCTGCAGCGTAAGACGAACGGGAGGAGAAAGTAGAAGAGAGCGAGAAGTAAAAACAGACACAAACACAGACGGGCCAGCAGACAGGTTGGCGGGGGAAAAGGAGAGGCAATGAGTCGAAATTAGTAAGGAAGGAAGGAAGGAGAAGGGGAAAGAAAGACCAGAATCAGAAGCAGAGCAGGAAAAGTACTGAGAAACTACTAAAGAACCTGATGATGTTAGTGCTAGAGACACACCAGGACATCAGCTAAAGGCATCCGACAGGCTGGTTGGAAACTCAAGAATCCCGTATGTTCTCTTTCCAAGGATTCCTTTCTACAATCTGCACACATTCATATTGTGATTCGTTGCATTACGGAATCGACCGATTGCAATTTTCTAGCTGATCAATCTTTAAAAAGTCTGATCTGCCGATACCGATTTTTTGGATTTTAAAAGTCCTGGTACCTTTTTGTAAAATCTCAGACTTAAAGGGGCAGTACTATGTATAATTACCTTTTTTGAATCTTATGTCATGTTACATAACTGGAGTGTTGATTTGATTCTTTCATGAATGTTAGAGAAATCCTTTAATGTCCCATGGCAACCATTTAGCTGTGCAAAACCTCCCGGGCGGACCTAGCTCCGCCTTCAAGGACAAAGCTCCTCCTGAGAGCCTCCGCCTCACAGAGCAGCCCTCCCTCACTCAGTTCCTTCAGACTAGCCAGCAGCAATTAGCAAACATTTGTTGAAACTGCGCATCTGCTGAGCTCATTATAGAAGCTACTTCTCAGAGCAACGCTGGTAAAATTTTTTTTTAAATAGTTAATAGAGGAGCCATGTTGTGATGATTTTCTGAAGGTGGAGTTTCAGACAGAGCAGGAGTTTTTAAAGAGACAGAGGCCTGATTTCAAGGCGTTAAATTACAAAGTCAATTTTCTTTTAAGCTATATTTTTATATACACCATTTTTATAACAACTGACGGTAACAGTTGCTTGTCTGTGCTATAAAATGGCTGTATGTGCCTGGAAAATAAATAATACTGCCCCTTTAAGCTAAGGATCTACAACCATGTTAGCCGCACTAACTAAAGAAAATGTGGCTTCTGTGTTCATTTTGTCTTCACCAGAAAATCTAGATTAAAAAAAAAAGAAAAAAGAAAAACATTTTGAGAGCTGCTCTTAGTGAGCAGGAGTGTTTTGCAGGTGGCCGTACCTGGTGGAGGGGGTGGAGGTGATGGAACGGCGTCCCAGGGTGACCTGGTTGATGTTGTAGTAACCTGGGCTGTCCAGGTCTGCCAGAGAGAAGTTGGGGCCTGTCGCCGTGGCAACTGGAGCTGAGACATGCAAACACAGGAGTCCATCACACACATTCTAAACTTTATTCGAAAAAAGCTATATTTAGGTAGGGCTTTACATGTACAAGCAAGTAGATGACCTTCTCTACAGCTTAGGGCTGTGGCTAATTATTATTTTATCAGTCGAGCATTCTGACGATTAATCGATTAATCGGATTTAAAAACTGCCATTTTCTGCATATTTTTCATTTAACCACTTATGCTTTCCTGACTTAATATTAAAGATACAAAAAATGCAATTAAACATATAATTTAATTCCTTTTTTAATTTAAAGAAAACATTTTATTGAATAAAATACAACAGCAGCATTCCTTTAGTGAACACTTGATTATATACAGCAAAGGAAATATCTCCAGCTAAAAAATACTTTTGCTCAACATCAGTGCAGTGTAGGCGTGTTCTGTTTATTATATTTTTGATCAAATGTAATCCTTTTGATAATTGGATATCAAACGGTATTTAATAGTAGACTTTTTTCTTTTTTTTTAACCAAGTGAAGCTAAAACTCCCACTTGAGGAATTCTTTGTAGAAAATATTTAAAGTTATTTTTTTATCTTCAATGGAAATTGTATTTATTTTTCTACAGTTTTGGGTTATTTACTGCTCTGACTGTGTTGTTCTATCAGTAAAATGACTTCTTCTAGAGTCTGTATACTCTAGTTAACGATGACTTCAATAATTGATTGATGATGATTACTTACATCAATCTGATTAATTGCTTCAGCCTGACTGCAGTTCAGACAGATAAAACTTCTTCTGTAACTTTGGAAACCTGCCTCTAAGGAAGCCTGAGCTTATGGTTCTGTGAGGAGGTTATGTGTAGTCAATAACTTCCCTGCTCTTAACAATCTGAGATGATTGATTTTAGATAAACACATATTTCTCTTCCCTCAATTTGTTTTTTTCCCTCCTTTTGAAATGTTGCAAAAAAATATTTTCAAGTCTTCTGGACTTTGACATTTTGACACACGAATAAGCTTTGGTCCAAACTATTCCATGGTAGCTCTGGGTGCATGTTTAGGATTGTTATGGTTTTGCATCTTCTCTGTCACTTTTAGTTCTTTGGAACAGCTAAATAGCATTTTCTTTCCAAACTAAAAGCATACTAAGAGATACCTAGTGCAGGAAAGATATTAACAGCTTGTAACCTCTCTGCAGAACTCCATCTTGAAAAGGTTTGAATTATTCCTTTAAAGATGTCACAGGGGAAACACATGTATTCTCTGAATAACAAAGACCGATTGTTGCAAATATTTTTCTTACTCTGTCAATTCTCTAACAGTGCATGATCATTTCTGGAGCTGCTTTATTTTGAAACCTGCTATTCCTCAACTGCACCCAGTTCCAATACACAGGTTTTACATTAAGACGCTGGACGTTTCGGAGCAGGTTCTGATCAGAAACAGAGACGGCGGCTGATATTAGAAATCACAGCGATGACTCACTCTGCGACACGCGGACCAGCTCGGCCACGTTCCACACCCCTGAAGTCACGAAGCAGTCCTGGAAACTCAAGTGGCCTGCGTGAAAGACGGGAGAAACACGTGTGCATCGTCAGTGCGGCTCGTCTGCTGGATGCAAAAACACCAAACATGGATGAAGTTTCAGGGACATTCGAGACGACGGCGGTAGAAGAGGAAACGGCGGACAGGCTGCTTTTTTTTTTTTGCTGTAACCCAATTTGGTAAAATGTGTTTTCTATAAAGTTAGAGGTTCCAACGTTCCTGAATGTTGACATTCTAACATGCACATCTAATCAGCTCCAATAGGTGGGTATAATCTCCAAACGTACATCTATATGCTGCGTGACACATTGTGTAATGACTTCTTCATGTACAATGCCTTCCAGAGCCCTTCATTTCAACCACAAACCAGTTTCATACTAGAGAACTTTGACTGAAAGTGATAAAGAAGCAACTAATGCCTTTAATTGTACATATAATAATAAATGTGAACATAATATAACACACTGAGATAAGATATGATTGTTGCAAACTGAAATTTTTAACTAGAACACTCGATTCTGGTAATAAAAAAATGTAAATGAAATACCTAGAATTTTCAGAAGTTGCACATTCCTAGATTTAGCACTTTTTTCCAGAATTTTCATTCAATAATCTTGTCAAAATTTCATAACAAAATTACAATAAAGTACCAATATTTTTTTAGTTCTAAATTTTTTGTCAAAAATGTTTCACCCAATTGACGAAAATGTATCCATCTTCTTTTTTTTTTTAAAGTTTTAAAATTTTTTTTTATTTTTTATTTTAAACCTAAAAATAGACACAAAATGGTGGCTCTTTAAAACTTTAACAGTTAATAGTCAGTTCTGTCCTCCTTCGCTCTGTCAAAGTTTCAAAAACTTTTATGCGTTTGTTTTGCTGAACGAGACACAAGTTGGCTGATTCCTCTCGGCACTTTTACTAGGAACATCAAGGAGGGTGGTCCGTCTCTAAACGATGGAAAAGGTCCTGATACCTTAGAATGATGTCAAGCCAGATAAAAAGTTACTTCCTGTCCAAAATATATTCATTTCTGATATATAGCATAATCCATAGTGTGACATAGTTGGTTGATACTCCATTAACACAAATCATTATCAATAAACATAGACTGGGAACCAGATGCACTGACGGAGCCATCTTCTCTCTGATCCTTTTGGTGTCTGAGGTAAGTCGTTTAGTTTCCTGCTGAAGTTCTGTCCGGTCTGACCCAACTGGTCATTTTGATCTAAACCACAGAGTCTCAGTTGATTTTCCTCACACTTAAAAAAGTATTCATACCCTTCTGGGCCCCCCTCCTGCATGATAAGTTTCCTATTTTACCCATTTCCCACTCAAGACAGCATTCCCACCACATGATACTGCCACCACCATGTTTCACATTGGGGTTTTGTATTCAGAGTGAAGTTAGTTTTTATTGACATTGTGTCCAGGCCAAACAGTTCTACTTTGGTCTCATCTGCCCGGAGCAGTGGTGTCACAAATTGTAGAAAGCGGAACATACAAAAGTACAAGACAGGCCCAGAAATTCTACATTTTTTGGGTTGATTCTTTATTCGTGTTGCAAGATTTGCTTTCGAGTCAAAGCAGGTCCATATTTGTAGCTTTAGTTGCTCCAAAATCAAGATGAATGCAAAAAACTTTAGGACTGGTACTCTAGTTTTTGGCCCTAATTTTATCAAGAAGATGTAAAAGATGAAAAAAAGTTACAAATGCATCAACAACTTTTCTTGTCAGATTTGTCCCCAGGTTGTACATGGACTAGAACACCTTGTTCCACATGCTTGCTCCATTGCCTTCATGCCTTCCTTCAACAAGTGCTTTCTTCTTCCAAAAAAAAAAAAAAAAAAAAAACTCTTTTCGCCTGAGGTGTGGATCTCTGCAGAGCTTCCAGAGGCGCCTCGACTGTTTAACGCTCTACTTGGTAAGTCTAAAGTTGTTCCAAACGCTAACCCTCATTGGTCTTTATGATTTTGTTTGTTCACTAAAATTCTCTAGCAATGGTCCTCACAAACTAGATTAAACCACAGGACTAATTCAGTGACTAATTCTCTTCTTCTACATTTTATCCATCGCTTCTTCTGTCCATCAAGCGCTCCCTCCCCTCCTTTCATTTTCTATCCACTTCCTCCGTTTTCCTCTCCTCGCTCTCCCTCTCTCGCTACCTCGTCCGCAGGTTAACCGCAGCAGGGGCAGCGCATGAGGTCAGCGCTCGGCTCAGCGTCGACCATGTGGTTCCCATCTTCCAATAACGTCAGTGTGATTTATGAGCGGCCCACCGCAAGCCAAGCCCAGCCCCCTCCACGGTACAGTACCGTCAACTTTCCTTGCCATAATAAACGTAGCCCCAAATCTGCCCAAACACACTAACACACGGAGAGGACTGCGTGGTGGTGGTGGGGAGGTGTGTGAACATGTGCTCGCCTCTTTTCAGCATCAGAATAGTTTTTTCCAAGATTGCTTGCGTGCGATTAAAGCACAGTACACTTACCGTTTGCTGGGGGTTTGACGTCTGTGTCTCCTTGCTGGTTTGAACTGTCCGATTGTCCTGATTGTTCTGAAAAAGACAAAGAAAGAGAGAGAGAAAACGGGTTACTTCGTCGATTGCTACCAAGGTTAAAGGTTCTCTTTAAAGACTTTGATAAGAAATAGCTTAAAGCCAGAAGCAGATCTCCACCTGAGCTGAATTTCAGCTCGAAACCAATAGATGCCAAAACAATGTCAGTCTCTCCTTCTGGACTCCGTCTAAGCGGAACAGAACTTTGAGTTTTTATAGAAGTGTTTTAGCGCACTTTTCTCACGTTGTAGGGGAGAAAAAACACCTACGAAAATATAGACACACACCATCTCGGTTTCGGTCCTGTGTAGGAGGGACGAAATGCTTAAAAAATGTGAGACAGTGTTTAGTTTTTACATGGAAGTTGATGGATCTGTGGGGGGGTTGAGGGAGGTTTTGACCTACGCTCTCAGCATCGGCCTCTTCCAAGAAATGCTGCACACATTCTGGGTCTTGCTTAGAACAGGGGTCAGCAACCTTTACAATCCTTACATCCATATTTTTCACTTGGACGCAGTAAATTTGTCTAGAGTCGTAAATTCTCCACAACAAGCTTTGACCTGTTGAGGTCAAAGCTTGTTGTGCTTTATAGATACCTGCTAAAGAAAGTCTGTTTATTCCATGGTTGCAGAAGCAAGATGTTCTGTGTTACAGTAAGGAAATACCTTTACCGTAATGTCAAGTTATTAGGAACCTTAAATGATAGTGTTTTTTGAACATTTACTATTTGTAGAAAACAAAGAGAAGAAGATATACTTTGATGCCTAATGACCTTTTTAACCATCGGCCATTTTGTTGTACATAAAAAATCAGCTAAAATTACCTGTTGTTATTACTTATATACTTACCTGCTTATGTTTGTGCTAATCTTCTTTATTGCTATTTGAGCTGACAAAAATATTTTGAGAATTTCCCTTTTTAGACCTGAGCAAATTAAACTAAAACAAAGATGTTAAACACCAGGCCTGGTTAGGATACTGGATCAGTTCCACTCACATCCAGGCATCAGACATTGTTCTATGGATGTTTAGACAGCAATAATCTTGTTTTTTCTTTCTCCGTTCAATGAAAATTTGCTTGGGAGAAGATAATTTTGAGTCAAAGTTATGACAACCCCCTGTGTTTTCTGTTTGTGATTAGACAAAGATGATTTTTTCCCTCACTTTACCTTTATAATGTAAATAAGATTGGACATTGTTACATTCTGTGGCTCTGACAAACGGGAAAACGTAGTTCCGTTGTCGACTTGTGAAGCATGCATTTTTAAATTTTGTGTCTAACTTGGATTGAGTCTTGTGTTTAAGTCGACCTCAGCGTCCATCGAGGCATGCAGGAGTGCATGAACTGCCTACTTCAGCAAGTTTTCCTTGGCCCCCCGAGGGTTGCCATTCTTCCTCAGATGTGTAATGCAGCCTTGTTGAGTTTTATGGTCGTATCATATATGCTATTTAGGCCAATTATCCCACAGTGCTTAGCTTTTAAGAGTGCCTTGAGCCAACACTTCTTAGGCAGAGCGTGACCTCCCTTCCAGCCAGCGTCAGGCCCCTCAATCTCAACATCTCCTAAGCCTAAATCAGAGCCCTGATCTTGGGTGGCAGCAGCACATGCCAGCAAACTGCTGCCCCATTCAGGCCATCTGCCCGTTGCCAAAACTAAGAAAACAAAAGGAGACACAAAATCAGTGCATCGTCCGTTGGCCAAACAAAAAAAAAGGAGAATGGCTTGAGGATGGGGTTTCTTCTTTCTTTTTTTCTAACACAAAACACTCCTGTTTCATTCTACGGTAGTAAGAGTCCAACTTCACGTCTTTCTCCCACAACGTCTCTCATAGTCGTTGTGTCTCTGATCCTGTGTCTCTCCCGTGCTGTCGCTCCGTGGAATCCTGGCAGCCATCTTAGGGCTTGGCAGCCATTTTAGGTTTGGCGGTACCCGTGCATTCCTGCTAGCTGACGGCACACCCACACATACACACAAAAACACACTCAGATGCTTAGCTCGCTCTCTCTTGCACACAGCCCCAATGGTCTTAAAGATAAAAAGACCTACAGAGGATATGCAATGCTAATGGAGTAAGGATATGAACCGCTGGGATGTTTCTCTGCAGTCCTGTGAGTGTCCTATGCACTTACAGTCTGTCATAGATGGCAGTCAAGTTGAGCAGAGCAACCGGACCTACTTGAACAAGAGAAAGATGATGCTTCTCTCCGCAACGGAATCTGTTAAAACCTTTGAAACCCCAAGGCTCCCAAGCTATCGCCCGTACACTTTGTGACAGCTCCCAAGCCAAAATTCAGTGCCCAGTTGTCATGACAACTCAGATGGCACTGTACACTTAAAGTCCCTAATGATGAGTGGTTGTTGAAGCCTGTGTGTGCATATGTGTCAGTGTTTGGCCTCGCAATTAGTCGAAATGGAGATAATAATATAGCTTACTGGCACGAGCTCAACTTGTTGTTTTGTTTAATATCTCTTGGCAGCAAGCAGACCGGGAGCTCAGTGTGCTACACTATCACAAGGCTGATTTTATTACTATATGAGTTGTTTTCCATTTGAGGGTCTTAAAACTCCTCGTGGTGTAAATCAAAGATCCTAACATGGCTCTATGAACTTTTCTGCCTCCCTTGGCAACTTGAAGACTATAAGGTACATGTGCTTAAGTGGGGGATTGTAAGACAAATGTATATATTAGCTGATGTTTGAGAAATGTTGTATCACAGTTTGAGTCTTTCTCTTGGTTTGTCCAACGATGCAAATCATTTACCGTTTGAATATTCAAAACTTGAATTTAGTCAATGGGCTTTAGAGCTTCCTGGATCTTAGAATAACAGAATTGCTTGACCCAGTCTCAGTTGACTACTGCCTCGTTTCTGCTGAGAGGTACGGCACGGGTAATTGCGGTTTGTTACCCAACCGTTCAATTTTAAGTCTATAGGACTGTGGTACGGTACAGCAATAGAACTACTAGTGTCACACAACACAGTCCATTGACTGAGGGACAGAAAAACATCACCGCTTAGGACAAGTACGAGAAATACTAGCGTGTCACTTATGTCGCTGTACTCGAGAGAGTCCAACTGGCGCTGGAAACTCTCCTGCATACACCAAACCATAAAATAGTGTACCGAACCGCACCGACCCATGCTGTACCGTTCAATGGAAACGAGGCATATGGTAATTAAATCACCTGGAGGGTTTTACGACAGTAATGAGATCCAGATATGTAACTTAAACTGTTATGTTGCAGGATAAAATATGAGTCCTAGTTCTCTTCAATACTATAGAAGAGTGGTACCTGATTTGGGACCTTGTACTGAATGTATTCAAAAGAAATGTAAGGGAGAAAATTTTAGGAAATGTGTTTTCTTTACAAGAGAAAATATATCTGTGACACTTCAATCAAAATATTACAGGATTACAGCACCTATTGTCCAACCTATCTTTAGAGCTATATCGATTTTTATTGGACATAATGAGCAAGTCAACACCACAAGTCTTCAAGCTGAGTATATGTAAATTTCTAAAGGTTTCTAAGAGTTTTGAAGATAAAAATGGGAGGGGAAGTACTGTTGGGATGTAGGAATGATGTACTGTTCAAGACATCTATAAACCTGAGGGGAGCAACACACCGTGCCCGAGTTGTATTATATCCAAGTTAGTGGTGACATTGCTACAACATGCCTTCCAAAAGTACTTTTCTGTTCTTTTAGTTGGACCTTGAACATGATCCTACCTGAATAAAGGGTTTGTCTGGACCCAGACTGGTTGGAGGATTTCCACAGAAGTATGTTCTGATCACCCTATTCTGGCTGTTCCCTGCCTCTAACTCATTGACTGCTGGGTAAAGTGGGAAAATGGATAATTGGATGACTGGACGGACAGATGGGTTAATCCTCCTTACATCTTACATGGTCAGACACAAAATCAAAATTTTCTCTGTGCAAACTCTTGAGCAGTCATACCCAAAAAGATCACAGAAGAGATTCAGAGACTGTGTGGATAAGGACAGGGTTGGTTTGACATGGTGGGAAGTTAAGGATAGGATATGATGTAGGCAACTGTGTTGAAGCTCAGGAGTGTGTTGTTGTAGAATTGGGTTTGTCTTTGTTATTTATAAATTTAATATACACAAGCTGATTTTCTCTTGCTGTGAGATCTCACAAAAAAAACTGATATTTCTTAAAGACTGTCTCCCGAATCACAAGTGGTAATATGTGACTTTATCAGGAGAGTGTATGCTACTGTTACTGGGCTCAAATACAAAAGTGAGAGACATGAGCTTGACACCTTGTAATTGTTTTTGTGGAACTTTTCTTTATTCCTGCAGTCATGAACCTACTAAAGTCATTTTCTTTAACTTTTTATAAGCCAGTCCCAGGGTCCCAGTGTATTATAAGCCTGGTGGGCTACCAGGCTGTATTTGTGCCCCCACCAGGTTAAGCATTGCTTATTTATTTAAGTCTTTTTAAAATGTTTGCATTTTTTAAGAATTTTATTGTAGAGCATAATAGAAAAATTAAAAACAAAATGCATCTTGGGAAGCTGTTGTCCTTAGCTTACTTCATACCTAACTAATTGGTATGCTGAGGGTCATTATTCATTTGGAAGTCCATTTTCCTCAACCTTCAAAGTCATGGCTGATGTATGGAGATGTTGCTTCAATATTTCAGCAATAATATATATATTTTTTGATGGCATAAATGTTAGCCAATCTCCCCCACAACATGATATCCCACAGATGAATGTGGCTCCTTCAGACATCTGCAAATCATAACCAAGGATGGACCAGACTTGCGGATGTTCACAATTCTCTCGACTGATTTCTAGAGGTTTTCCCACAATGCCACATAAGGAAGGATGTGCCTTAGTGGTATTGTCCTAAACTACATCCACAGCTCTGCCTCCACTTGATCAAGATTTTAAGATTGAACCTGTCAAAAGCTTAAAAAGACAGGACCTCATCATCTGTACTCCTTTTTTCAAATTCTTTAATGATCTAAATG